CTCCAAAGCTGCCTCCTTCCCCGATGCTAGTCACCCATTCATTGTTCACATACACCTGTCAGATTAGTAGAGCAGAAGCCAAAGTGTTAAATTGTGATCAAAACACCCACTAAATTGTATTTTTATGTATATTAACACTGATTTCCAAAACTCTCTGACGAGGATCAGATACTCACATCCATCTCCCCTTGGTCAATAACATAGAAATTGTCACCTTCGTCACCTGGGTGCATCCAACAACACTATTAGCATCACACAAAGACATGCTATGATTTAGATAAATGCTTGTTCGGCTAAACACTCAAAAGACTTAAGCCTACCCTGCAGAATGACTGTTTCCCCTGCGATGTAGGTGACTGGAAACATTGCATCAAATATGTCACTGGGAAGGAACAGATTTGTGAGTTGATTCGCCCAAAACACTTACACAATGATCAAAACTTTATTTATATCGATGTTTAAAAAAAGAAAAAAACACTCTTTAAAGATAGGTACCTCCTCTCATTGTCGTCCAGGTGTGAGAAGAGCACATTCTTTTCAATAGCTTTGGCCAAGGCTGCCATCGTCTTGTAGTCTTTTGGAATGACCTTAGAAAACAACACGTTACGTGTTAAGATGTTTTCACTCACTGAAGAGTTTCAAACAAAGTAAACTTTGCATAATGTTGATAGTATCAGGTTGTTGATGTAGATGTTAAGTGTTGCAACACTCTTTTAGGCTTGTCTACCTTTCTGACGTATGAGGCTGCATCCTCCTCTGTGTAGACCTCTGCGCTGAAGGCTCCTCTCCGCCGGCGACCCTTTACCACAGGATTCATGGGGGGAGACACCTCCTCATCACGTGAGTCTGAACGGGAACTGCTGGCCTTTTGCTGGTTCTGAATCTGTTTGGCCTCCTCCTGGAAGGGAGGGAAGAGAGGGTGGAGTCAGCAGACTGTCAGCCAACATGGTTTATAGTTGCTGCAGTTCATAGGTTATTTTTAAAAGACTTTTTGTGCAATAACATGCTAGGCAAAGTACTTCACAAGATATACAGACACACATTTTTTTGCGACTTAAAACTAATTTTTACTCCTTGGCTTTTAATCCGGGATGAGCTGTATGTTGCTGTTTTGTTGGTGTTGTATTTTGTCTATTTCTTGACTCACGTCAATGTACAGCACTTTGGTCAACCCGGTTGTTTTTAAATGTGCTTTAGAAATAAAGTTGGATTGGACTGAATTGGAAGATGATTTAAAGGTTACTTTGAGCATCTGAAAAAGAAATCTGATAAATAAGAGGATGATAAACTATAAAAGACCAGATTGAAAGTCCAATCAAAAAAAGGAAGCTACCTATGAATGCATCTTTCTGGGTCTAGATAGCATGCAAGCAGCAGTTTCAGAAAAAAAATTCATTCATGGGTTACTGTGGAATTTCAGGCTATTGTATGTGCAGTTGTATGTTTTAATTTAATTTAATGAATTTGAATGAAGTTTTACTAACTTTGCGTAACCGTTTCTTTTTTAACTGATAGTTATAGTAAATGTAGCATCCAGTTTTAAACATGGCTCCCGGAAAGCCTAATCCCATCTATACATATACACTTGCGAAGTCCAAATTCTTGGCTAAAAGCATGTGTATAATGTGTAGAATGTGTACTGCTTTGTCCACTATGCACAGTTGCAGAGTGAACAAAGCAAAACACAGAAACAACTGAGATAGATGTTTTTTTTGCCCGAGAAATAAAAAGGAAATTTAGTCTGACCAAGTGTAAATAAATACAGCTTGTTATGGCAAATATTAGCTGGCTTATGAGACAATAACAGCCTGGTGTAATATAATATATACAATGCTCAGCTTTCACTGTATAATGATTTGCCACTGAACAATAAGGGCAACCAAAAAGCACACACACACACCAACCTTTTCCAGCCTCTCGAAGTACTCCCTGAGGAAGGCCATGGGCCTGTCTGGCCTGGAGGTGCACAGCTGGACAATGCAGTCCTTCAGCAGCTGTTGAATGTTATGTTTCTGCACATACTGCTCACACTCCCTCAGGCTCCGCTCCTCTTCGCTGCTCGTACTTCCAGAAGCCATGACCGCAACCGCAACCCTGCTCTGTGACCTCTAACCTTTGTGCTGGAGAAAGTGGAGAGTAACCGGTGAAAAAGTGGACATGTTTTCAGGTCATCACTGTACAACATGGATCCACTGGATCACCAGAGAGCAACACAGGGTGCCTGTGTGTGCAGTGATGAGAAATGGACAGACAGAAAATGTGAGAAAAATAGAACCAGAGTGAGAAGGCATGGGGGGGGGGGGGCACTGTGGAGCTTCTAAGTGTTATGGGTGAAAACTGGTCATATGATGTGATCACACATATCTGACTACAGACAACAAACTGGGGAAGGCACACTGTCTGTCCTGGGTTTATTTACTCAAAACAATTTAACTTTTTTACCAGCCTGAATAAAGCCCTCTATCATAGAGAGAGAGAGAGAGAGTATCATACATTACACACAGCCTAATTTTAGACTAAACCTGAAATGAAGGCCAGAGAATCAATCCACTGTGTGACAGACCAAACCATAAAAGCAAATGCACTTACTTGGGGTTTCAAAATTTCAAGTCACAATACTGCTGTGGAGAAAAATAGCCAGATCATGTGATCAGCCTCTGTGATAGAAGCTTCTTCGGATAACTCTGTGCTTGATCTAACCTTGTAGTCTAAAACAGGAAGGCCTCTAAAGCCCTGCTGAAACCAAAATGTGCTTTTTACATAAGTACTTGAGTAAACAAGTGGAGCAAGCAGACCGATCCATCCTGTCCTTGCAAGTGTATCATGCATGTGCATCAGTATAATAGGATTCGAATCATTTCTAATCTGACAAGGCGCAGGGGAGATTACTAGCCATGTTATCAAAGATGATATTGGCACAGCCTTTATGCACCCTGCTACACTCATGATGGAAACATGGCAGGCTTGTTTTAATCTAAACCTACCACAGGAATAACTAAGTGATAGTGATAAATGATACTGTTTTCAGACCAGGTGGTATAAATTAAGAGCAAATGCTACAGACAAGACCCAACAACAGGGATCTTCTACCTTACATTACTAGTAAGTCTTACTTGGATTGAAATATCTGTGCTAGTGAAAGTACAATTAACGTGCTAATTCACTAATTCAGTTACTGAGCTGCAGCACCACCTCTGCTGTCTACTAAGAAACGGGCTGTCAATTGAATTACAGAAAACACTGCGATTCACAAATGACCTTGCTGAACAAGTGACAGCGGAGTATGCTAGAGGATACATGATAATAACGCATCTATTGGTCTGCAAACTAAGTAAATGCTACCGCCTGTTAGAGACACTGTGAAGCAAATGCCCTGTCTGTAACGTTATCACCGTCTAGGTCAGGAAGGCTTCATGAGGAGGCTGACGGCTGCAGCCAAGTAGCTAACAGCAAGCACAATTAATGATGACACACTCCCTGCCCTAAACTATAATAATCTGTATACACAAATACAAATGAATAAAAAACGTGTTATAATTTGGCTCGAATATCCTTGGCCTAGGTTTTGTTAGAGAATGTATCTAGTGTGATGCCTAGCTGGCTAACGCTAGCTCCGTGCAAAGGCAAAGCTCTCCTCCAATGACGCCATCTTGAGTTCTATCATAAACAAACGAGAGACGGAGGAAACAAATATCACCTATCCAGAGGTCACATGATCCATGGACTGAAAAAACGCAAATACTCACAAGAAACTGTGAATTCCTGCCGAGCCCTTCGATAGCGACTCGGGATGGATGATATTTCTCAAAGCGCACCGTTACCAGATCCTCCTCGCTTCGATTTTTTCCCGAGCCCTGGACCGCTGCCCCACCGGATACGGCTGAGAACCAATCAACAGCCGTCAGTGACGTCAATTCTCCTCGTTCTGACATGTGAGCCCGTAACCCCTGGCAACCTTAAAGGAGACCGCACGGAAACCGTGACGTCAAGGAAATAGTTTAGAAATGAAAAAAATCGATTGCTATCTGATTAAAAATTTGCATGATAACAGTAAATCTCTCTGTGTCTTTAATTAGAGATGCGCAAACACCGCAGCGTGCAAGCAGTCGATTTCCAACATGAGGGTATTTTCGGAGACATTGGGGGACAGATAAGTCAGGAGTGGGCTCCCCAGACAAATCAATTCTCATAGGAACATTAAGGAATGGTGCAGAGGTCTCTCTTTTCTCAGCAGGCAGCCGGACATTTAAATAATGTGTCAAAGTGATCACAATATAATGTGCAGAACAAAACAGTAAACATTAACTTATATTAATAATGTAAGTTCGCATAAAAGCACTCATATCACAATGTAAAAATACTAAACTACAAGTATAACTCCTGCACTCAGAATGTTACTTAGCCTACTTACAAGTATAGAGGGGTTATCAGCAAAATGTATCCTACTTAAACTAGGCTTATAATCGAGAAAAATAAAAATATGGCTCTTGTGAGATTTATATTATATATAACGTTATAACGTATGAATAAATATAACATAACTGGACACATACAAGTTGTCCCAAGCCTATTTATTGTTTTTAGCAAAATAAATATATTACATGTTAGGGGGAGGGGGATCAACATCTGCATTTAGGTTTAACAATGCAACCTGCGTAGATCTAAACGTACAAAATAAATAACTATAACACATTTACGAAACGTAAGCTAACATAATATTCTCATATGCAAATGTAAAATAAACAATAGCAGTGTTTAGCAGTTCAACATCTCTGCTGCACGGACGTGTAGCATGCATGATCCGTCTTTTATCCAATGAAATCATCAAAACAATTCCTCGTGACAAGACAGAAAGTGCAATTGGCCAATTAAACGTTTTTTCACCAAAATAGGCGGTTCTTATTTGATTGACAACTATGTCGTCAAATCAATAAGAGGATTTTAACAACTCGACTAATAGAAACGCCGAAGAGGAAGGTTTGACATGTTTCCGCCAGCCAATCGTGATGCACCTCTGAGTGACGCATCCACCCATCAGCTGTTTTTGTTTTGCTGTGTGAATATTGGAAGTTAATAACATGGTAACAACAGTGTCGACTGGGCGAAGTGAAAGGGCTCAGTAAGGAGGTATTATAGTCGATCTTTTCTCCTGTTCAGGTTGTATAGTTCACGCGGTGAGTACTGTGTGCCATCTGAGCCCGCCCGGATATTCCTCTCCCTGAAGAGTGTGAGCGTGGCGCTTGGAGTCGGGGAGCGGAGGAGGGGAAGCGGGTTCCGGTTGGGATCGACCCGAGCCCAAGGCCTCCGACCTCGGCCGGCGAGAGAAGAGGGAATTTGGCTGCTCGGATGGAGTCCCAGGACGTACCGGACGGCCCCGCGGTGCACCGAGGCTTCATCTGTGCCTCGTTTAACCAGGACACCACGTAAGCGACCCGCGGACTGGGGCCCAGCATGAACTCAATCTCCTTGATGCACCTGACTGTTGCATAATTGTTTTCAGTCGCATTTACATATACTCTGGTTTATTTAATGTCACTTCGTTATAGCTGCAACAACCAAGCAGTTTTGTGCGTTCTGTAAGCGTCTGTGTGCCTCATTAAAACTTCTAGATTAGTCTCTACCAGCTGAAAGTGAAGTAGGCCACTGTGTTAATCTCCAAGGCCTGTTGCACATTAAACTAATAACCAAACTTCTGGCTGTTGAGTAACAAGACACACCTTAATACATCTGATTGAAAACGGGCCTATTGTGTAGTGTCTCATTCAAGTTTCCTGCTTACCTCGTCCTTGATTTGTGACACCATACATTATTCTATTTTAATACTAAACATTTACCATTACGAGTAAACGTGGTATTATTGAAATCAGCTTTACAAGCAGGACCTTCCTGTGTCATTATTTGACACCCCAATAATTCTAACCACTCACACCTGTGCTGTAGGTGTCCAGTGTAACATGCTTTGAGATTATTAAAGGCTAAACTAGCAGACAACTCCAGCAGAACTCACTGACTTTTCAGTTACAGGTATTGCCCCCCTTACACAAATATCTCCCTGCATCTCTTGATTGTAAAACTAACCAGGTGGCCAAACAGTCAACTGGGCCTTCTTATCTCTTTGTCATCCTGTTTGTTTCAACTTCAGCCATGATAAAGTAAGCTTCTTTGGGGGGCAGTTAACAGATGTGAATGTAAGCTGCGTTATGGCTGTGTTGTCTAAACAAGATATGATAGTCTGGAAGATATCATGTCATGTATATGGCTACCAAGCATTTCCTGGAAATTTTACTTGATGGAAACTAAAAATCATAGAGCCATTTACTGTAGCATCCATTACATAGATTTCACCCCGTTTTGCGCAGCACTATCCTACAGATTGTACATGTGTCTGTGCATGGATAATCCTATGCTTTTCAATAGCAAGCGATTGCTTTTAACCAAATCCATTCACTAATCTGTAGTAATAATAAGCAAACAAAAAAGGTTTCTGGGATTATTTTACTGCAACAATAGTACTATGTGAATTAAAATGACAAAAACTATGTTGTAATGGTGTGTGCGTGTTTTATCTATGTGACTGGATTGCATGTGGAATTGTTTCGGGATAATTTTTTTGGATCACTGTTATTGAAAATGTAATTATAGTTTTATTAAAGAATCTTTAACCTTGTAACAATGGCGGATGTGGCTGGTAAAATGTTTTGTGTTTATGCTGTTATTGTAGCTCTCTGTCAGTGGGCACCAAGACTGGCTACCGGCTCTTCTCAGTCACTGCTGTGGACAAACTAGACTGCATCCACGAGGGAGGTAAGAGGGACGGCACACTTTACAGTTGTCTTAAAGAGTTCAAGTATGTAATGTCCCATGACACATGATTTATGTTTGTCTTATAATTCATTCATTGTTTGTCCACATGCATACACTAAGTACACTGTGACACACCAGCATCCCCTCCCTAAGGTGACATAAGTACAATGTGATAGGAGTCTACACAGGATTTTGTGAGCTGTGGTCGTACAACAGTTCAGAGATGCTGCACATGTTGCTCTGCTGCGGGTAAACACAGGAACACCCAATTTTCTGATCCTCAACAGCAACAACGAAAGAGAAAGTTTTGAGTCAGTTTGAGGAAGTTCAAGCTCAATAAAGTTCTCTATGTCTGACAGTTTCTCTGATAGCAGTAAGTGCAGGAGATTGTGTTGGAATTGACAACAGAAGATGATGCTGTATTTGCCTTTATGAATATACTGTATGAGCTTATGTTGAAGCCTCCGATGCTTTTCTGAGTGAAAGCATGCATCCAAGGTCTTTCTGTCCGTTTCCCCAGTAGAGTGTCCAGATGTGTATATAGTGGAGCGACTTTTCTCCAGCAGTCTGGTGGTGGTGGTCAGTCTGTCCATGCCACGGCGAATGAACGTCTACCACTTCAAGAAAGGAACAGAGATTTGTAACTACAGCTACTCCAACAACATTCTCTCCGTCAGGCTCAACAGACAGGTAAGACCAGGAATTAGATATTTCCATAACCTGTAATAGGTCGAAGTTGGTGCTTCTGGTTTGTGCAAATATATATATATGTGTGTGTTTGTGTGTGTGTATATACATAAAGAGAGAGAGAGAGAGAGAGAGAGAGAGAGAGAGTGAGTTATGGTAATCTCACTGTCACTTATTGTGTTACTGTTACCTCAGCGGCTGGTGGTGTGCCTGGAGGAGTCGATCTACATCCACAATATCAAAGACATGAAACTACTCAAGACTCTGCTCAACACACCGACCAACCTCTCAGGTAAACTCAAGCTGTTATTGGGACACCTACAGTATATATAGACCATATAAACACAGTGTACATTAATTCCTATAGACTCATGAGCAGAATTATAAATTATGTCACTTTCAGCAATACTATGTAACTTGCTAAATAGAGGCCACTATGGCCGCAAGTGACATTTACAGGTATGTGCTATTACACATAGTCTAGTAGTAACACAAACAGAGTGGAGTCATAAAGTCAGCAAAGCTACTGGTCGTACCAGACCAAGAAAGGCTGTAGTTCAGAATTGAAAAGTGTGTGTTTTATTTCTTATGAACTCAGCTTTCCATTTTAAAGATGAAGAATGTCGTATTTCTGTACAAAGTGCTGCTTTAAAGCTACTTGCCAAGGTGCACAGTACTAATGTAGTCTGACACAGTGAGAAAATGTCACTGTGTTGAACACAGAGCAAAACATGCATTGTTTGTTTGATTTTGGAGTTTGCATTGGTCCAGCAGATCGATACTAGGCAAATAATAGACCCGGACAGATAGTGTATATGTAGCTCTAGTGTTAAGCAACTGGCAAGACTGATCCACTAGGTGTCTTAAAGAAAAAAGACAAGAAAAGGAGAAAAAGAATACAGGAAACTAAATGAGCTAAATCTATTCTGTAATCCCTTGTAGGTCTTTGCGCTCTCTCTGTCAACCACAGTAACTCCTACCTGGCGTACCCTGGCAGCGCCACCATCGGAGAGATCACTGTCTACGATGCAAACAACCTGGTGAGGCCGCATTAAACTCTAACATAGCAGCAAAGGAAAACTTGCACCTGTTGTCATGTCTCAGGTCCCATGGGAACAAGCAGCTCAGTGTCATTAGTAAGCACTTGTTTGCCCCTTTAGAGCACTCTGACGCTGATCCAAGCCCATGACAGTCCCCTGGCAGCCCTCACCTTCAATGCCTCTGGCACCAAACTGGCCAGCGCTTCAGAGAAGGTGAGGACTTGATTCCTTTTTATCTCTCCTTCTCTTTTATCACAAACCAGCCTCTGTTTGACTCCTTTCTCCTCTACAGGGCACCGTCATCAGGGTGTTCAGCATTCCTGAAGGACAGAGACTGTTTGAATTCCGCCGAGGGATGAAAAGGTCATTAGTTATATCTTCATGTAGTTCAATCAGAAACCATTAGCAAGCAAGCTGTGGACAGACAGTGGACAAGATGAATCATGGTGGTTGTACGCCAGAGATTAAACAAAGGGCTCGTGACCAAAAGGTTAGCAGTTCAAATGATCCTCCTGTTACTCAACTGTTAGTGTTGTAGGTGAGTAAGACACTGCACTCCTGTTGCTCAGTCACAGATGGCAGTTAGTTGTGGATGCACTGTGTGGCCTCCAGTGTCACTAACAGAGTATCAGTGATTAAAACAGCAATGTGAGTAGCTGAATAGTGGAAACATTAGACAGACGCAATGGAGAGGCTGTTTTTACACACAACGTTTTAGCAGCGTTCAGGTTTAATTTAGAATCGTGGACAAAAGTCTACATTTTGGTCAAATTGTTTCTAAAGCATTAATTTAGTGTTGGAGTTTGAGATGCTTATATTTTTTGTTTTCAATAAAAAAGTACACTTAATCTTGACTGTTTTGTCCTTTTCTATCTGCGGGTTTCAGATATGTTAGCATCAGCTCATTGTCCTTCAGTGCAGATGCCCAGTTCCTGTGTGCTTCCAGCAACACTGAGACAGTCCATATCTTTAAACTGGAGCAGCACAGCCCCAGGTAAACACGCACGCACACACACACACACACACACACAGTTTGTTTCTACTGACTGAACCCATTAATGATTAAATTGACACAGTAAACCATGTTAGTGATGAGTGATTGTATGTATGTCTCACCTGTAGCTGTAGTTATTTTCTGTCAAAAGAAACTTTTTTTTATGCTTTCCTTTTGAGGATTAACATTACTTCACTAGCAAGGACCACGCCACAACAGTGTGTGATTTAGAGGTACATGCAAATGTGGAATGCATGGATTATGGAGGATGGATTAATGCATATAGAGGGGAAGGGTGATGGTGGAAGAAGGATGCCGTCTGATAGGCTGGTCTGAGAGGGTGTACAGAAGACCGGGCAGATCAGACTCATCTCGGAAGTGTTTTCACCCGAGCTTATTTCAAGTACCCAGACGGTACCTAGATGAGACATGAGAGAGCTGTGCACCTGAATAAATAGGAAGGGATAATGGGATGAGGGAATGAAAGTCTGAGTGGAGCAGGGATAGGGGGATGAAGGGATGATAAGATGAAGGATTGAAGAGATGAGGGGAGCAGGGATGGGGGATGATAGGATGATGGGATGAGGAATGAATGGATGGGGGATGAAGGGATAAAGAAAGAGAGGATGGAGGGAATGGAGGATGAGTGGATGTGTGTAGGGATGAATGGATGAAGGGAAGGGCAAGGGAGGGTGGGTCAAGCAATTTGAAACAAGCGGGGCAGGCTGAGCAGAGCGGATATATGTAGCCTTGACAGGTGATTGGAGGTCTGGTTGAGGCGTGGCCCTGCTTCCGAACATCATATCACATTATATTAATTTGGCAGATGCTTTTGTCCAACTTACAATTTCTCTTATTAGAAGTGATTTCCCTGTTGTCATTTTGTCTTTCAGCACCCTCTGCTGTATTTACAGTATGATGTAAAGCAATTCAGTGGAAATTCAACTAAGTGGCTTACTACGTGAAATTCAGTCTCCAGAAATTTATCGATGTTGTTTGTACCATGCTGTTTCCTTCCAGTCAAGAGGAGGTGTCTCCTACATGGTCAGCATATGTGGGCAAAATGTTCACAGCAGCCAGCACCTACTTGCCCACCCAGGTGTCCGACATGATGCACCAGGACAGAGCCTTCGCCACCGTACGACTCAACATGTTCGGCCTGAAGAACATCTGCGCCCTGGCTACGTAAGGCAGAGCGAGACAGAGACAAGGCAGGGATGTTTTTTTAAGAGGTGTATTTATGTATAAGGTCATTGACATCTAGTGTATGTGTGTGTTTTTCTTTTGTCAGAATTCAGAAGCTCCCTCGCCTGCTGGTGGCGTCTTCAGACGGGTTTCTCTACATTTATAATGTGGATCCACAGGATGGAGGCGAGTGCGTCCTGGTCCAGAAGCACAGGTGTGTGTGTCTTAGTGTCTTAACAAAATGCTGTGTCAAAAAGGTACAATAATTTTGTTAGTTGCCCCCAAATTAACTTTGAGTTTAAAAATATTTATATTGAGCTGGGGAGAGATTTAGGGATTTTGAAGTACTTTTGGCACTACAACAAAATCATTGGGCTACAGCATTAAGCTGTAACAAATGCAACTGAAAGGTACCTGAACTGTCGGATATGTTTAACATGACAAGTAAACTGTACACAGCACAGAGGTGTTTACCTACTTGTCAAAGAAATGGTCCCTTATTATGCAGAAATTTGACGACTAAATGTCAATACAATGTTACACAGTTTCACTGAGGGGTCATTCACCTTTTTATGGAAATTTAATGTTAATTTTGAATAATTTATTAAATGTTCAATTAATTGACAATATGCGACACAAAGATTTCATTTTAACAAATAAGGCAAATCCATCTTAATTACAGATTGGACTCTTTTCTCAATGGTAATCTGTTTTGTCATTGAAAATTACGTTGTGACGACGGTGTATTTTTACATCAAAATCTTGCAGACCGAAGCTTTAAAATGTCACACTGTTTTATGCTTGTTTTATCACGAGTTGGGCGTTACGGTGCTGTCTTTGTCTGCTCTGTTCGTGCAGGCTGTTCGACTTCAGTGAGGAGCAGGTGGAAGACAAGGAAGAGGAGAAACAAGAGGATGTCTCTCCCCAGCCAGCCAGCCAATCATATGCTGCCACTGTGGCTCTCTCTTCAACCCCGCCTTCCTCCACCACTCTCATGGGTACAGTATCATAAACTGATGAAAACCTTTCCAGGATTCAACACTGGCCTTCTTACCTGGTTACCTAAGAGTAACTTCTAAAACCCAACTACATTATTCTAGCTCTTATTGTGCATCTCCTGAGACCTCTAAAGTTAAAACACTTATGCAAATAATATTAGAAATACTTAAAACTAAAACCCTAAACAAAAGTTGTTAAAGTTATTTTAAGTATTTTCCTAGTTTTATCTCAGAATGTCTCGATTCTCATATCTGTTGGTAAATAAGCATCAATGCAGTACTTCTACTACACTAAACAAAGTTATAAGCGCAAGGCTTTTGTTTTTGCCCCCATTCATCATAAGCTAAACCCAAAGATCTAAGACTTTCTCTATGTACACAAAAGGCCTATTTCTCTCGCCTATTTCTTTACAAATCTGTCAAAATCTGTGTTAGTGAGCACTTCTCCTTTGCCGAGGTAATCCATCCACCTCACAGGTGTGGCGTATCAAGTAGAAAGCAATATTTAAAAATGTCTTCTTTCTAGGTAAACCAGTAGTAACAAAAACACTTTATTAAAGATGATCTTATAAACTTTGAAGAACCTAAAGCACATAATAAAGTCAGTTTTGTGAATCTAGTCTTGAGCCAACATCTAAGCTCTTAGAACAGAATTTTTCTTGCATATATGCAACATATGCAAGAAAAATTAAACACAGGGGTTCCCAGTTGTGGCAGCGTGGTGGTGCAGTGGTGAGCGCTGTCACCTCACCGCAAGAAGGTCGTGGGTTCAAACCCCGGCATTTCTGTGTGTTTGCATGGTGTCCGCGTGGGTTCTCTCCAGGTTCCTCCTCCAAAAACATGGAGGCTAGGTTAATTGGTGTCTCCGAAATTGTCCTTAGGTGTGAGTGGTTGTCTATGTGTGGCTCTGCGATGCAACCTGCCCGATGTCAGCTGTGATTGGCTCCAGCCCCCTGCGACCCTGTACGCAGAATAAGCGGTTGACAATAGATGGTTCCCAGTGGAGGCAGATGAGGATTCAACAGCGTTTTTTCCTCGTCCCTTCTCTTCACAGGTTACTCTGAGGATGGTGGAGCCCAGAAGGGCGAGGTCATCCCGGAGCACGAGTTCGCTGAGGGCCCCGTCTGTCTGGATGACGAGAATGAGTTTCCTCCAGTCGGCAACCAGAGTAACTGACTCCCCCACCCCACGAAACATCCGATCCCTGCATAACAATCAGACTCACTTGTTTCAAGCAGGGAAGGTGGACAAAAATATTCCTGTGTTGAGACATTGTGGCACCCCCACCCTTCCACACGTACCCCTGCTGGACTAGGGTCAATTCTTGCCAGAACGTTACGTCCTGGTGTTTCTATATCCTGCGTCCTGCCACTCACTTTTGTAAAGAATAAAAAAAACACTAAAAAAGAGTGGATTGTCCACTCATCATTAAAAAACACATTTTAAACTCTTTTCTTAGACATATTCAAAGACCGTCTAAGATTCCCACTGTTAACTCCCATATTATGCCATTAACAAACAGTGTTCATCTTCTTTTTTAATAATGACAACACAGTGAAGTTATTGTTGCACAATATTATCATGGAAGTGACCAGATGAGCATGCGGTTGGTCCAGCAGACTATTAATGAGCAGACTGAATATACCAAGGTAGTAGAGAAAACAGGCGGGCTTGGCCTGCAGCCATTGTAGAGTAACCAGTGGCCAGATTCACAAAATACCCTCTATAGAGAGATGCCAAGATGTCATGTAAAAGTTAATTTTAGCTGCGTCTACAGCCAAGTGAAACCAGACAATAATATGATGAAATAAGCAAAATCTCTTAAGATCATGTTTTCTGTCACTTACAAGACTTCTGAAAATCTATAATAGGGGCATTTCTGTTAGTCGGGCCTCAGGAATGGGCATTATGGGCATTAAACTTGTCACACCTCAGGAAAGGAGAGCAGTAGTTCACTCATGAAAGGAAAAGATGTTGTAAGTGTACACTATTTAAACTACGATACACGCAGTAAAGTATTACATGACTTGCAGATGCAGCTGTCATACTAATTAGGGTAGCAGTAGATGAGACTAAAAACCGGCGCAGTCTCAAATGTAACCTGATAATATATCTGGAAGCTCTGTGGGAGGAGCAGTCAACAGCTAAATGTGAAATACTTAATGGTGAGTTGTACGTGACACAGTTACAGGTCCTTGAATTTCAGTGATATCCTGAAGACCATTTTATTTACTCCATGATGCTGAAGACAGTATGTTAACATGTAAGTCATAGTCATTTTTACTTTGATGTATTAAATATTCTTTTGCAAAATGTTTGAAGTATTACACATCAACGCATAGGCTTCCCGTGCGTAAATATATATTGAGGATTTTTACTGTGTGTATAATGTATATATAACATTTATATATAGTACTGTTGTAATAAGTAACATGGTAATACCATTTGATTTGCCAAAAGGTGGCACTGTTAGGACACCCCTATGCTGCATTGAGCTGTTCAATACTGGACATTTACACCAGAGATTCATTAAAGCTGAGAAGTGATTCAACCTCTGCTTGGAGTTTTGATTAAAAAAACAAAACATAATTTACATCTCTCATGTTTAAATCCTCTATTAAATCTCATCAAATACACAACAAAACAATAAAGCTAAGTTGTGCATATTTTAGCAGTTTGTTCTCTGAAACTTTAGTTATTTAACAAACTTTCAAAATGCTGAGTTACACTGCAACAAATTGATTCCTAAATTGTACCATGTCTGATAGATAAAATTTTCCCCAAACTATAAACCTCATAATACCAGCTGGCCAAAGTTCAGCTGCCTGCATGCCTGCTTGTTTGCACATCTCCATCTGCACATTGAACCTCCCAAACAACACATTCTACAAACAAACAGCTGAGCACATCCAGAGATATTTGTCTCCACATCTGTTTGCTTCTCTTTCAGCCTGTTGTGTGAGTGTTAGTGTGTGATATCCCACCCTCAGCCCAGCGGGTGGCAGCGGCAAACAGCCTGTCTTGGGTCACAGCAGGGCGCTGCTGAGTCGTCTGTGCTGTAGTCTGCCGTGGCCACAGACTTGTCGGTGGCAATGTCCCATAATAACTCCTCCCTCATGCGGGCAATCCTCTCTGCTACCGCCTGGTATTCAGGTGCCTCGACTTCCAGGGGTTTTTCCTCAGCCTCGTCATGCTCCAGATCAAATATCAGCGGCGGATCATGGAGCTGCTGCCTTCCTGTTGCACCGCCACATGCCTCAGCTGCACCTGCAAAGGAAAGAAGACATGAGTATTTCTTATTAGCCTTTTTTCACAATTTTGCCTTGCCCACATTAAATGGATAAACTATTTTTCTTGACACAATTACATGAACTCAAAACATGTAACATTACAGCATAGATTATATTGTTATATGTAGTTCCTTTTTGTGAGTTGCCTAGTGTACCAAATGACAGAGCCAGCAAAAAAAGGGTTAAACAAATATGGATTTGCGTGAAAACAGGCAAATTTATAGTACCAACAGCTACAGCTATTATTAAAGTTTGGAATGTGTCATTTTCTGATTGAGTAGTAACATGAACTGAATATCCTAAAGCACTAAGAGTTATAGTACTATAAAAAAAAAAAAAAACTTAGATATTTAAATGTATGCAGTGTGATGCTTCACTGTGAGATTTAAGCTGATATCACAATGCCTTTTAAGTTATATAGCTCATAAAATACATTGGCACAGACAGACAGGCATAGACTGGTACTGCCATGTTGACATAAAGCCGTGCATATCATCCACCATGGTGGCAGGGCATAACAAGCAGCATTGCAGACATGTCTTAATAAACACGTCATCACTGTTAGATAAGCAAGATTTGTCATTTTGCTGACATATGACCTGTACCTGTCATGTAGAAAGCTTTGTGTTTCCCTGTTCGAACTGTCTGCAGGTCACCAAACTTCCCTGCAGCACCACTGTTAGGGTGGAAGAGAAACTACAAAAAAGAAGAGAAGAACTAATGTCTGCAACAAGACCCTAATGCACAACTGATAATACAAAGAAATGATCGATAGAAACCAAAGAAAGACTGACAACAAAAACCATTTAGTACCTCATGACCAGTCTGTTCACCATGGAGGAGGACATTTGTGGCATCACTGCCATCATAACGTCTGTCTGAGGGGGGAGTTACTCCTGCCAGGGACAGAAGGGTGGAGAAGATGTCCATACCACTGCAAGAGGGCATAAAAGAGGAGACATGATGTGTTCAGTTTGTGCTCTGCTAAGATAATGGTGTTTATGAAGAAACTTTAAAGTGGGAGCTTGATAAAATTGATAACCAGAAGAGAAAGATAAAGATGAAAGGAGAAGAAAATCTTACACAGTAGCATTTATTTCTATGTAACCAAGACTACGTCAACATTGTCTACAGCTACACTAAGGGCTCTGAATCTGTGCTTTGAGCTAAATGCTAATGTCTGCACGCAAAATGCTCACAATGACAATGCTAGCATGCTGACGTTTAGCAGGTAAAATGTTTATCGTGTTCACCATCTTAGCATGCTAAGTCTTGCTTATTAGCATGAAATACAAAACACAGCTGATGGAATTGTCAGATATTTTGTCATAAACCAATTATTATACAAATTTTAATTTTGACATGTTGATGGAAATACATGAGAACTCAGAGCATCACCAAAGTGATTACAATTTATCCTGAGAGGGGCGTCAATGGCTGTACCAAATTTCATGGAAATCCACCCAACAGTTGTTGAGACATTTCACTCAACGCCACATGCCAACCTCATGGTAGCGCTATAGAAAAAGTCAGGATTAACTGTCTGGAAGTCGAGTGACCATATTTTCACAAGTGCACTTTCAACACCATGAGAGCAACATTTTCATTGCCAGGAAACAAAGAATAAAAGCATCATGGAGCTCTTCAGGAAAGTCCGACTATCTGTTTGGCATGACACCTAACATACTGACAGGTTCTGTTGATTAGTTAATTGTTTGACTAGTTAATACTGAATCCTACACACAGAGCCTATAAAGTCAACACAGGATCAATCAAAGTATTTAAGAAATTTGAAGCAGCCTAGTCTCTGCTTACTGGTAAAATTCTAGTACCTGACCAGGGCAGAGCTGGTTGTGTTTGCAGGGATCCTCCCAGGCCAATAAGCTACTGTTGGCACCCTGTGACCTCCCTCCCAGGTGGTCCGCTTTGCTGAGCCTCCACCTAACACGCAGGCAAAAGATGACTTCACGAAAATGTTGATTCATAGCAATAAAATGTACAGTAGCTCCAGCCACTACTTAATGAACACATCAATCCCTTTCATAAAGCATGCATGGAATGTGCACTTTTCATACCTCTGCTGGTCTGCCACTTTCCCATGAAAGGCCCTACCCTTCCTGCGTACTGGCACTTCTGTTCCCAAGGACCGTTGTCACCTAGACACAACACGCACACATAAGGCTGTGAGAAAGGCTTGTCTAGGGTAACAGTTATACTAGTAGTATAAAAAGACAGATGTGATCCACCCAGCTGACTAACCGGTGAACCAGATTAGAGTATTGTCTTTGTCTGTGTCATCAGAAGCGCTCTTTACCGCCCCCACCAGGTCATCCATCTCTCGCAGGCTGGCGGTGTACACTTTGCTGTCATCTGGGCGACGGGCGGTGGCAGGAACATCTGGAGGGGCTAGGGGAACATGCATGTGAGCCAGTGCTATGTAGAGGAGGTAGGGCTGTCCTTGCTCCCTGCAAAGACAATTAATGAGGTGACACCATGTCAGACAACCTGTGCTGACCTGTGCTGTTCAATACTTGCTCACAAATGGATTTACGGTTAAGCAAAAAGACAGGACATGATTTTGATTAACATACAATCACATACTGGTTTCCAAACACACGTCACTATAATTTTCCCAACAGAGCAGATTTCTTTCAGACATTTTAACTTGTCATAGCAACATAAACACGGATGTAAATAATTACATCAATGTTTAGGTTTAACTACTTGAAGTGTTTTGTTAAAGTTGGAAACAATCCTGTGTGGAAGTCATTGGGCATAATTGTGCATAGAAGCACTTAAAGCTTTCTTTGTAGGAATGTGGACTTTCCAACTCTCTGACATATCTGGAACACAGCATTAGTCACTTAAAATGACTTCACTGACTGAAAGCCTGCATACTAAGGTCTTGACAGCACCTGACTGATAACCGAAGGCATGCTTTTCACAGACAGCTGCAAACAGCAGGGTTTGCCGCCCTCCTCCTGTCCTTCCAACACTGACAAACACACACTTTCTGTATTGTACTACTATCAATAACATTTAGTTCATTTAGTTTGGACAAGTTGTTACATTGTTTTACAAACTAGATAAACACCACAAAAAGAAAACCAGGCCTAACAAAGATAGATTCCAGATAAGCTGATCTAGGGTTAAAACATGCAATTTTCATTTTCCCAGGCTCCAGGTCTTTTTGGTATCAACAATAATAAAAACCCTTTGAACTCCCCTATCGTCCAAAAACAATGAAAAACACTTGCACATGGGTGACTATACCAAAGCAAATGACTTGTATATGTAAACCTACTTGGCGATGAAGCTGATTCTGATTCTGAACATGCTAAACATTGAGGACAGACATACTGGCGGTGAAACTTTGGCAATGCTCTGCTTTGTGGACCTCATTTTCCAGCCTGTGGGCACATGCATGTCTTTGAAAGGCAATGACCTACAGGTGGTTACAAATATTAGCACCTGCTGCTTACTTCTCTCCTCTCCTGTCTGTACAAGTATGTCCCCAGATGATAATCTCACATGATGGATCACTGCTCAGATCTCTCCACTGATAATGCACACTGGCAAAAACAAAACAAGACTCCAAGCAATAAATAAACCGAGAGGACTGACTGAGAGATCATAATGTAAAGAAACAGTAACAGACTCTCTTGACTGTAGTGCTGTATAAGGACATGGAGTATGATCTTAGAGTAGGGGACACTGGCGTTGACTTTCACTTGCATTATCATAGCCTCCAGAATAAAGTCTACAAATGTCTGACTTGTCATGGAAGACAACAGTGCAGTGGACTTTATTTACCACACCGTGTTTGAGTGAGTGTTTCATTCCCCTATTGACAAAAACAATTCATTTCCTCTTTCATCTCTTCCGGAGCATATCACATTTGAATTCTCAGGTTTCCCCCTCATCCACACTGTCTGCAGAGAGAGAGACTGACACACTTGACAAACTGGATTGCACAATGAAAAATTAATTTGTCAAATATGAGAAAGGATGACAAATGTGCTAGTTTGCTGTATAAATAGTTTGTTCCATAACACAAATATCAACAGAGTGATATAACTGTATGTTTGCAGGTGTATTGGACCTTGCTTTGCGTATAATCCTGGTTGCAGCGGATTTGTATTGTTCTGTTAGTTTCCACAGGTCAAGTGGCTGCTCCACAATACTGCTGTTTTCAACCAGAGGAAGGCCCACCTTGGAATAACAGCCTCCATGTGCACTCCTCGTCAATCTAGACCATGAG